GGCTGGCATAACGTGCCTCTCAGTGAGAGGTGAAGCTGAAATCCTAGATTGGTTCCCAGTCGACAGTAGGTTGTGCGCAGTGAAACTCAAAATTTAAAGCAAAGAAAGCAGTCATCCCCCGAGAGACTAAACTTGTTTGCTGTCGACCTACGCCTCGAAGAAGCGCAACCCAAATGGAGAAGACGATACATTTTGCCAAAAACTACACAACTTTCACACAGCCCGCAGAGTTCACATCATATTTTCAGTGAGAGATGAATACCACAAAGGTTAGCTGTCGTCGAGCGGGGTGCATAGGGTAAGTCCTTTCGAACTGCCGATCGGAAAACGAAAAACAGCTATTGGCTCTACGTGCTGAACACTGCTATCCATCACTCATACGAACTTCAGAAGATCCACTGCATCTCTGTGCATTTCGTGAGGCATGCCGATCAATCCAGACCGGTTGCAAGCATAGCAAAGCACGACTTGTAACGGGAAGTGAACTTAACGCAAAACCTACGCAGCGATTAAAACATTTTATGGTTTTAACGCGAATCAGAGATGGAACCCACTGCCGCCATGAGAAACTATCTTAACTTGTTTCATCTCATCTCAGTCACTAGTAGGAAAGCTCTGGATGTGAGCGAAACAATCTGTGCAGCCAACACCTCGTTCATTTGCAAACCACAGTAACGTCTTGCGATCTGGGCGAAGCACTTTGAGAGACAGATTGGCTGACCATAACGTCAGCTTTCACACAGCTATTCCGGCACACAGCCCGTGATCTATCTCGACCGATCCACCACCAAATGTGGAAATCTACAAGATGATAAAGTCTCAAAGCGCCAGGCTCCGACGTACTACACCCATTTCTATTTAAAGATGATAGAATAAAAAACACCAGGTAGATCGCCTCCTTGTGGGCGGGGTCTTTAAAAAGGGCTGGGTCAACCATCGGGGTATAACCTTTATCCCAATAGCATCAAAGCTGTTTGCGTCGGTCATCCTTCGCAGAAAGTTCATTATGCGTGAAGAATAGACCCGTGATGAGAAGGCTGGATTTCGTGTGAGTGATAATACACAACAGATTTCACACGCTTCAAACCGCTTGACGATTGAGATATCCAGGTGTAGTATGTGCAATCCAGATGCAAATGGCTTGCTCAAAACTGGCGGGAGCGTATGCTGGCATTCACTTGCTGTAGTCAGCGACTGGAAGTAGTTGAGGGTTTCAAGTACCACAGGAGCCTAATCGCAGCTGGGTGTACACTGCCGCGGTTCATAGCACGCTGTTTTACAGTTGCGATACGTGACCTGAAAATGCAAATCGACTTTTTGTATTCAATCACCAATGCCTTACAAGCACTGCTCGCAATCTGGTGGGAAAATCGGGTGAGTATTGACGAGGTTTACCATCGTGCGACGGATGCTGGCAGCCGGTCACTAAAATCAGCACGCACGGTGAACCGCCTTCAATGGTTCCGTCACGTGTTATGTATGCCTGTACATTGACTACCTTTCAGTGCTCTCTTCGCATTTCCTAATCAATGGTGGAGGAAGAAACGCGGCGAACGGAACACCACAGGGCGTTGATGTATTAAAAATTTCGTTTCAGTATTGGCTTCGGTTGATACTGTCCACCTTCCAAGTTGGGACCCAGAGAATAAGGCTCAGAAGAGAATTGGAGACATAGTGTTCTTTGTCATGTCCGTTGATATACTGTGCCCCAGAAAAATGACAAAACAAGAAAAAATATTATAGGTGGACAGTAAAACAACTAAACCAAAACCATTGTTATTCTTATTATTGTTTTCTAGTTTTGGAACTATTTGTTTCTCAAATCGTTTTCTTCTTTACTCCAATCTCACCCTTTCTATAATTATTTTTGTTGCGTTGTGATTATGTTTGTTCGCAAACCGTGTATTTTCGTCACAATGACCTCGTTTGCAACACCGGGTGACCACTGGATAGACAGCTCTTTCAGAGCCAGTCCAACGAAGAGCTTATAGTATGATTCGATGTTTTGTAAGTGGGTTAGATGCTACGAACCGCAAGAACCGCGAAACCGGTCGTGTGCTTCCAGGGAAATTTTGTGCAGTCGTTCGCATACTACTTATTATCAAATATATATATATGTATAATGTTTCACTGACTATTTAAAAGATAACCAGAAGCCGAAAAATTATCATATGCACAGTATCTACACCCGGAACTTCGTATGCTATCAACCTGGCACGATAGGGTTTTGAGTTTGCTACCGGTAGGCTACTCAATGTGAATTTTCGCTAGTTTGTAACGTCTTACGATAAGAATGATTGGGACAAGCGACCGGAAAATACACTTTGTATCTGCATACCAGTAGCACACCGTAAACAGTGCACAATTATGTATAGTCTTCGTTACGAACTAACGATACGAATTTTTGTAAATTTGTCTTCCGACATTTGCAGTTGCAGCAAAAAGAAGAGTTGTTTTTACGATTGTCTTTCAAAGGCGATGCTCATAGGACGACTAGAAAATGCAGCTTCTCGCACTCACACAGCCGCTGCTCTATGAGTAATGTTTACCAGTAACCCAAGACCACATACGAATCCCAGAGAAAAACTGCCCGTACTCACCTCATCAATGGTTATCTATTCTTTACGTGCGCCTGTGCAGCTAGTTACCTAGGTCGGACGATGAGGCGATTGTATAAGAGGATCGTAAAGTACAAACCGGTCAGGCTTAGCATTGGTGGTATGGAAGCAGTGAGAAGTGCAGTCGTAGCCCGCTCCGCAGAATATCGAGCACCACGGATTGGACTGAAGTTCCTATATCAACGCCAATTAGTAATGGCAAAAACTATAGCAATGACACTACTAAACTCATCAACTTGTGCGGAGAAAAACTGAACAAAGCCCTCCTGTTTTGGCCTCCAGTTGACCTAGATAGCAAATATGATTGTGACCTCTACCACAATGCGATCAACCTTGCCATTTTTGAGTCAACAGGAATCCAGATGGATGGTCGATGAGTCCCTCCCTCCGTTCTCCCAGCCTGTATGTTACAACCTTTCGTTTTTCGTGATTGGATGCACTAATTCACGCAGTTTGATCTCAATTTACTGACCAACCGACATCAAAGCATAACTTTGTACAGAGGTATACATACCTGAAGACGAAGTTACGAAAGCAACCTTATTTACACTGAACTATTGTTCTGATTACCAAATTGGAATTTCACATGAATCTCAATTTTCTAATCAAGTCGACAAAGAGTCCAAAATGAGTGTTCCAACAGTGATTTACAGGTGGCTACCATCAGCTAAAAAATGTACCTCATTATTTGCCTACTTGAACTGGGATCAGTAGCAAGTTGATGAAATGCTAAAACCATGAGCCTACTGGTTAACAGCAGATAACGAATATCTGTGAGGCGGTCACTTGCTTCTTATTGTGGCTTCGTCCCAGTAACCAATGCATTTCTAACAGATCTGCATTATTATATTCTCAGGGAAAATGTATTGTTGAAAATCACACAACGAAATTAAACCGGTGAAATCCCTCTTAGATAATTATGCGGTGTATTGAGTATTTTGTAACTCAAACTTTTGTGAACACGAGCAGATAAACTGAATGCGCGTTTTATTTTCAGAAGGAGCATGCAAATCAAATGAATACGATTAGATGCAGTGCGAGTATAGCTCACCACCTACCGAATTTTAACTGGGCAGGCTAATTCGAGGACATAGTATCCTTGGGTGAACAAAGGAACACAGAAAAAACGGTATTAGGATCCCTGCATAGTACGTACCGTTCGGGAGATCGGTGGGTTTGCTCATTCCGGTCCAGTTTCGACAACTGGGTAAGTAGAGTGAGGAGTGTGTTGAACTGGGAATCGAGTCCTGACGCGGAATGATTCAACCGATTTAGCAATGGATCACTAAGGATGCGTTGCATTGAAGTAAACTGCAAAGAAACAAGCACCAAGACAATCACAAGGGGCACTAAAAGGAAACTTGCAGTCGAATCGTGCGTGAAGTCAATGCAATCTGTATACAGTAGTTATCATACCCTCCGAACCGGGAAGCAAGGGGAATAAGAGGGGGAGAGAAACGCATGACGGGCACAAAACCTTGACGACAGCAAAGGATATCGAATCATTTAAAATAAACTATAAGGGGGAAATTGCTTAAATGCATATCGTCATGGTAAGTTATTTCATCACTTTAATCACTCAAGCATTTAAAGGCCTCCGTAGGGTCGAAGGTGAGTGCCGATCACTCTTTCCTTGAAACTCAAGAAATGCTCCTACGTGATCGGAAATAGCCTTCACGTGGCTGGTATTTTCCCGCCAAAATGAGAGAACAAAAAGCCAACAACCGGGGCTATAAATGACAGTTAACCTAGAGGTTAGCTAAAAAACCTGATTAGGCAAGAACATCTTCCCGGTTACGGCAGTAATCACCGCCTCGATTGGGCATTTGACCCCGTCCAAAGTGCACACAATCTGATGAACTAGACACCGGCCCCCAATGGAATGCAGTTTCAACACACCGCCTCACTGCCCTGCGGGTCAGGCTTTGGTAAGTCAGAGGCTCCTTTTATGAATTCTCCAAGGAAACTCACCTGCTTTGATTTGGAGAACCCAGGAGTATCCCAACCAGAGGTGAATCAGGGAGCACTTTTTGTTATAAAGATCACTAAACGGTGATTTGTTTAGCATGCAGTACGGACCCAGACGCGCGTGAAATATAGATGATCACGAATAGCAACAGCAACTCTCGACTAGGGTAATAGTAGTGCCTGAACCAATTTGTGCCGAGAGCTCAGATCAGGCTTTGATAATCGTGTGATCGCATAAATCAGAAACGCCCGTAATCGTCCCGACATGGAGGAAAAGTGATCGCATGTATGGAACTTGTCGCCTACGCAGTACACACCATACACTTAAGCGATCCTATATCAACCTTTTCGGTCATTTATCGGGTCTCGTCCCACACTTGCAAAGCAATACGGTTTCAGACACCAGCAATTAAGACCTGAGTTCCGAAAGAAAATTGGTTCAGGCACTGTTATCACCCTGAATGCAAGTTGGTCTTTTTGTGCATGATAAAAGCGATGAAGTCACTTNGTAACCATATGCCTTGGACACAGTCCGTGTGGGTGTGTATATTTCACATTGCCCATCTGTTGCTTGACTTTTCCTCCTCCATCGACTGTGATGGGACTGGATTCATCTGACCTTAATCCACCTCTCAAAGTTCGTGAATCCGAGTGAACGTTTATTATTTCGAACAAGCATTGAATTGAGCACACGAGTACATTCGAGGGGAACAGTTAGACAGGCAGGCAGACCAATTGTCAACAGCAGGCGCAGAGACATTACAAGCAATCGGGGGGGGGGGAACATGGCGGGAATTCAAGTAGAAGATGAATCACAAACGTGAAGAACAAATCAATACTGAATTGAGACTGGGCGAAGTACATCGATCATAGATTAAGTCTGCGTGATATGCGTGTGTGATAGCATACAGTAACGATCAGTCAATCAATAATGTTACAGGCATGTACGGTAAACGTTTTAATCAATGGTAGAACAAACCCATTTGAGGCTGGAATCTATTGTGATGAAAATGTATGCACAAAGGTGATTAAGGATGGGTGCAAACACTGTGAAAGCACACTGTAACCAACGAGCCCATGCGAAGACACTAAAAAAACACTTACCGACTTTTGAATGCGTTCAGCCAACGGTTCGGCTTGGTCTTTGGCAGTGAGACGCTGAACCAGTCCCATTAGATCTGCGCGCAGCATAGCCATTGAACCAGTACCCCGATAGAGCAGTGCATTTGATTTACCAGCCAACGCGGTGTCGTCGAGACAGACAGCCGAGGCGACGGGCGACTGCGAGACGAGGGAACGCACAGCCAACCGAGTGGGCGGATAGGGAACACTCCCGAGAGCGGTGTCCGCGGCGTGCCGAAACAAGCCGCCGACTTTGTACATGCGAGAAGCCACAGAAAACACGCCAGCGCTGACAATTGTATGCGAAGAGACTAGGAATAAAAAGGGGAAAATAACTGGATCACGAAAAGAAATCTGTGACAACTAGTGGCGTTTCGGACAGAAAATACGTTCTCACTTCGCGGAAAATACGAAACACAACTGGGATGAACCACGTCCATTAAACTGCAGGCCACTTGTGATTAGAAATGCACATTTGTACCCAGCTGCCGAAGCCCAGTCAGAGAAGCAATGAAAACTGAGAATAACTAGGGCGAAACAAACCAGTTAGGGCTTTACCCAGCAAGTTTCGTTTCTCCTCCTCTGGTACAACATTCATGAAGTCATTCGCAATGAAACAAAAATTTTGTCGGATATTCTTTTGTAAAATGAAAGCAAATTATTTCCTAATTGGCAGTCGCTTTGCTACTGAGTTCCGAAGCGAGACTATTTACAGACTAAAAACCATGAACACTAGAGGCGTACCGACGTGTGATCAAAACAGGAAGTTATTGTTTCTGAGAGCAGTCATCTTGTAAGACCAATGGCGGCGTTAAGAGCATTGATTTCATCCATTCGCAAATTTATCATCCGTTGTCCATTAGAATCCACAGATCCGACAGTTTTACATGTTTAAGTGGCATTAGTTAAATGAGCTCAAGTCTGTCAGTCATAAGCTGAACAAAGGATTGGATTCCGCTTCGGCTATTTCTGAGTGTTCTATGCTTTATGAATGCAAAACAGCTATTGACTCGCTTTTTGGTGACACTGAGGCAGTCGTTGCTTCGTATTTACTAAAATTTTGACGACCGAAAGTGTATATTTACGAGTTTTGTTTTCAGTAGACTATCAATCCGAGTAGTGCTGGAATCGTTACCATGAAAGGTGTTCGTCATCTCGTCCGGAGGAACTGGGAGGCAGGTTAGAAAGGTTATAAAAGAAGAGCTTCATATTTCTTAGGTAAAAAGACAATTTTTATTTAAAACTGTCTACTTTTCGAGTATCCTAAACTTATTTAAAAAAATATTTTGGCGCCTTTTTGATCTTCATTGTCCACCTCCAGCTGCCAGCCGCTGATTGGTTAGTTCTGTACATTTTCTAATATTTGGCACCCGTTTTCAAGGTCTTTATGTCCGGAGACCGGGACAGTATATGAGCACTGACACTATAAATTTGATTTGCTCTGGGTTTGTCAATTACACGTTCGTTGCTCACTGCCAGTGTTCTTACTTTCGTGGCTGAGTGAAGGCTACTAGTGCCTGTTGGGTTCAATCTGTGCTGTGATCGCATTCCTGGGGCTAGACAACCTACGTGGCCTTCGAGGTACGGGTTCCGTAGTGCTCGACCCTACCTCGTACCTCTGTGTGCGTTCGCGCTCTGTGCACATCGACCCTTGGTGTCCAATCTGTTTCTTGTCTATCATCTGTAGTGAGTGCCACAGCTGTGTTGTGCTGTACTCTGTCGACTTGTGTTTTGGACACACTGTGTCTCACATTTTCTGTTTTATTGTGTCAGTGTGTGTGTGTGATTTGTGAGTGATCGTGAACGGTACAACAATATTCTTTCATGCGACCCATCACGGATGAAGTGTCAGCTCGCATACAGAAGGCTCGGTTGGCATTTGCTGTTGCGACATCCGGCTGCCTGTTAAGGGTCGAGTGTATGTTGCAGCAGTTCGGACAGNTCGGACAGTTCTGCTATGTGGAGCAGAAACATAGGTCCCGTTAGGCTCTCGGGATGGTCGTAACCGATGATGAGAGACACAGAGTGATATGGCTAGGTGTCGTAAACAGTGACGTTCGTGCATCTTCTCAATTTCTCTGTTTCATTAGTCCATTGAATTTTTCAATTTTCTCTTNTTTTCTCTTCTATCCTGCTTTCAACCTTCCTATTTTCCTCCTATTGCTCACCCAAATGGCCATCCAAAAGACGGCAAAAGAAAAGCGTCGCACGGAAATGCATGCTTAATGAGTGTTTAAACTGAAAACTGAAAAAAAGATAGATACAGTGAAGTCTCTGTACTCTCCTACTTGGTATCTGAGCGATCAAGTGTAGGGTGGTGACAGCCATAAAGCTTTTAACATAACACCTTTTTTCAAGTACGGAAGCCCTTTGTTTATGTTTCAAGCCCAAAACATGTAGCTGCGGCTCATCGAAACAAGGATACTACTTAACTAATGCTGAATTCATCAAAGGCGTGTGTTCGCCTGCGTGAGATCGAGGAGCCTATGTCCGTTGATGTCATGTTGTGCAAACTGCCTCGCTCAAAGGTGAACATAAATAGGTCATCCTGTATGAGTGTGCAATTTGGATGGAGAGTGTTCGCTCAGGTAGTTGCAGGCGTCCGCTGGAGCAGGTAGTCGACCTCCATAGATTACGTTGGTTGGGGCATGTGTAACGCATGTCACCAAATAGGTTTCCACGGCGAGCGATGTTTGTCAAGGCAGGGCGTGGTTGGATCAAGGTTAAGGGGAGTCAAACGAAGACCTGACATGAGGGTATGAAAACCTTAACCAGGAGACTCGGTCACACAGGTCCCATTAGGCTCTCTGGCTGGGGACCTCGAGATGATGGTCACCGATGGTTAGCTACACTGACTGATATGGCTGGGTGTCGCAAACAGTGCATCTAATCATTATCCTCTTAACACCAGTCTATATGAATTCTCTATCGGTGTGTTTAATGGTTGTAAAACTTGAACTGTTCGTTCAGTATGATGTCACGCCATTTCACGATACGGATGTGCTGTCCAAAGGATCAGAGTTTGCACTGATGTTACCACCACATATGCGAAATGGTGCATACAATAAGAGACCCTACTTGATGATGACAATGAGAAAATTAAAATCAACGACATGGGTTTCGCGAATGGCAGTCAGTGACATGACTACATCCCGTTTTAGTTACGCTTCATTTTCGGGCGGCGGTATTTAGCAACTGTTTTGTGATCGGTCACACAAATGCATCTGGGCCCGACATACATTTGATTCTATCAATAAAATTTGAAGAAGTCTACCTCCTGGATATCGTCTCAAAGTTTAGCCTCCTTTTGAAAAATTGTGCACAAGATTTTAAATCCCACTGCTAGGTTGAAGAGATGCTGAAGTCGTCACATATCTTCCAACAACAGGTTCCCCCGTTATCTGGTAGACACTGACGACCATTTGGTGCCCTCAAATGATCGTTTAGTAGGCGCCGTCGGAAATTTAGTTGCCGTGGGTCAAAGGAGACTTAAAAACAGCTTCCGGGCACCGTGAGGCTACATCATGCGTGATGTTTGACCCGGTTAAATGATTGGGCAGTCTAGTTAAAGTTATGTGAAAAATCTCTCAACGGGCTGAGTAAGGACACAAGCAGGAAATTGTATATTTTAGGGAAAAGAATATCAATTTTGTGCCCAAAAATATAAGTTAACAAACCCAAATTGTAAGGTATAATAAAAGTAAAACTGTGTCTTCCAAATGTCGGTATGCGAGACGAAAGAAATCAGAATAATTTATTGCCTGCCTACCCCCAGTAATATTCCTTATCAATGTTCTTTGATTGTCTGACATTCCAGAATGAATCTAATTCACATTAGGCAGCAAACATTTTCTCACCGTTCCCATAAACACACCGAATGCTTCCTCCGTCGGATTGAACCATCGGAAGATACTGGACAGCATGCCCGGAATGCTTCATTCCTTCGTCAGAGAATTGTCGAGAAAATATCGCTTTAGTCACTAACTTTTGAAGCACAAGCGGCCAGAAAGTTGTTGCACATTTCACCGATATTGATAATATATTAAACTTATCGAGAACAGTAAATAAGACCATAATTTGCACCTTTGGTTGATGACTAAGTTCGTTCACCCGCTTTACTGCGAGCACCAATTGTTGTAATTCGGTGCATTAGTATGAAATCGTCAGACGGAAGTACCGCGATGAACTGGTTTCTCGGTAACATCCCCCTCCCGTTTCGTTCGACCGGTTGGACACGCAGGTTGCACAGGTTGCATGCATTACTATTAGGAAGACGAACGATCAAAGATAAACTCATGGGGAAAACAAGTTCCGTGCTTCTGGTTGTTTCACTCAGAATGATCGCACAGCAATCGCCTACAATGAAAGTTTAAAGGGTTGCAACGGAGGTGCCATTGAGTGCGGCTTAATGAAGAGGACACTTTGGTTCTAGCAACCCAATTGTGAATGGCAAGAACACCTCGTGTGATTTGGGATTGAGAGAAAGTACTGAACACATAAGAAAGAGGGTTCACTGAACGAATGCCGGAGAATTTATGGCACGGGATACTTCACGGAGGCTCACAATGACGAAAAGGTTTCTCTTTGGGAACCCTGATAAGTACTTTTGAATCGAAAGTATGATAGAGAAGGCAATGGAGGTCCAACGCGGAGAAGTGACCGAAGCACCTGTGTGGGAGCTTCTACAGATCAATCAGCCAAAGCCCGTAGGTTTCAGACTCGTGTTTTTCGTTGGTGAGTTGGTTGTCGGTCCACCGTCGAAAAGTAGTCCTTAGCCCCACGTTTCCTTTCAAACAAGTGGAACGTGGACCGCACCTTACCCTGTGGATTAGATGCCTCCCGGGTCGGACGGATGACAGCTGTCCAATGAAGTACGAAAACTTATACAAAGTCGGGAAGGAGCCCCATGTACCCCACTCCGTCTGCAGCGCCCCGTATTTATTTAATGGAGTGACCTTTCTAGGCGTGAAAGCGGATGATCAAAGGAAGTTAATATATCAATGAACTGGACATGAGAAACTGAGTTTTGTATGTTCCCTACCTATTGATCTTTCATGCATGATTGGATCTGCAGCTGTGATGATACATCCCAAATAGCTCGCAGGATTATAAAGGCAAACCAGCCATCACACCATGTTAAGGTGCAGTTTCATTGTCGATGCTGATCAGTGTTCAGTCCTTCGCTTAATTCGATTATTTCAATTTCGTAGTAGTTGATTCTGCCGTTTCGCCAGCGACAGGAAAACGTAAATCTGTGTTCAACACAATTTATGATTTACTTCATGTAGAACTTTAGCAAAATGGTCAACAAAGAAATGCTACATTGCCCAGGTGGAGCGCATCAGTATGGCACACTTTAGGTATCCCTGACAAAACTGCGAAAGCGAAACTTAGACTTGGGAGCCCAAACCTTTATCCATAGATTACACGATTCACGCAAATGAGGTCTCCGAGTTAGATAGTTTTACCTCATTTCAATTAATTTATAATTGCAATAATGATAATGAGCCAAGTTACATAGAACGTACCGATTTGACCGTCCCAATCGGTCAATGCAATCTGATTCACGTGCAAATTGGTGGGAACAAAATCCAACCGAGTGTTATATCGATCGCCCGACGGTTTGAATCGAGCACCTAGTATGCAATAGACAGAAAAAGATTATTGAGATCGGAAATTCATTTTTCGATTCTTGAAAGTTATTGGTAATTCGCATGAATATCGACAGGCAGATGCTGGCAATTGTAATAAAACACCGTCTACATTCATTCTTCAAACAAAACCATAAATTCAATCAATTGGGGCAAAAACCTGTATCTTTGGTGAGATAGTTTTCCACTCCAGTAGCCGTTGGCTAGAACGAATTTCAAGGAGATGGCAGTACGAAACCCAATAATTTCCAATATAAGAGGAAACGTTCAGTACAATGAATGGTATGAATTTTCAATGTGCAGCCAGTACGCATGTAACGCACAGTCCCTGCAAAAAAGTACCGTGGAGAAACATGAAAGCTGTATTCATGTTTCAAGTTATTCGAAACGAATACGGATAAATAGAAAACGATTACTGTTTGACCAAGTATTACGCTATTTTATCAACCGAAATGAAACTAATCATTTCTGAAACAGCGCAAGAGGTTATGCTCAAGATAGAAAAAGAAATAACCCAATGAAGCAGGTGAATTTGTTTTTGGTCACCAAAAGGTAGTCAAGTCAAGAAAAGCACCCAAAGGGTGAATTTTCAGCAGTAAATGTGATGACATGGGTTTTATTATTGATTGGTCATTAGCATCAAATGAAATTTACCCCAAACCGAATGAAATAAACGTGGACTGAAAAGTTGGTAAGTATAGCACGGCTTTTTCAACTTTGCTCTGTCACACCAAGAACCGGCCACGCACTTCATCAAACTGAACCACACTAAAACACACGTAGCAACACCGTGTTTGTTTGCCAGTTATGATATATCCGCAGAAGACAGTAAGCAACAGAGCTCACTGAGTGCAAACGCGCCCATAAAGACAAGATCACCAGTGTCCGTACATCACGGATGTGCCAGTATATAAACAGTGTATAGCACACCTGTTTCTACGATCGATCGATCAATGGATCACACAAAGGACTCACAGAAAGAAAGAACAAGAATCGATCACTATCAAACTCTTAAGACTACTTTCTCGAAAATAAACCACTCAAACGCATCTGATTTTTCAGTAAACAAGCAATTTCAACCAGGGAAAACAGTAATATTTGGTACGCCAGACTGATTTCCTACCCACAGGATCGAGTATAGAAATATAAGGGGAGAATGATTGAACAACAGGATACATGTGACTGACAGTTAGGAATAGGTATGCTAAACATAACTTAGCTGGGGGGTGGTGGCCCGGTGGTAACGTCACTAAATTATAACCCGGAAATGTGTGTT